TTTATTTATTTATTGCTTAGATAGGTGGATGAGCTCACAGCCCACCTGGTGCTAAGTGGTTACTGGAACCCAGAGACATCTACGACGTAAATGCGCCACCCACCTTGAGATATCAGTTCTAAGGTCTCAAGTATAGTTACAATGGCTGCCCCACCCTTCAAACCAAAACGCGTTACTGCTTCACGGCAGAAATAGTCAGGGTGGTGGTACCCACCCGCGCGGACTCACAAGAGATCTTACCACCAGTAAAAATTGTCTATAACGTTGGTTCTTTGTCGGATCACCTAGTTCCGGATTCGATCATTCAGTATATATAAACTTGAAAATCATTTATATGAAGAAAATTTTACAATCGAATGAAAGAGCAGAAAATTGTTACAAATTGCGACGTACATTTTTTTGTCGGATGGATGTGGTGAACAATAGCTCGGCCGGCGTCGCCGCTAAAACTGTCACCCTGCGGATGCTCGCATATACCGCACCTTAGTCATTCGCATTGTTGTGCATATATTTATTTCTTTTAATAAAAACATTTAAATATTCTTTAAAAAAACATATTTTCTTCAATAATCTAACAAATATACCTTTTTTCGTTGATAACTTCAAACAGCTCAGAGTGCTTTGAAAATTAATTAAAATAACATAGAAAAATGCGCTTTAAGCAACTTTGAGCTATTATGATGAAGTAAGTACGTTGATAGTGGATTGTCATTTTTACTAAAACTTATTCCTTATCGGAATTAACAGAATTGTATACTGATATATCGTAAAATTGTAGTGCTCAAACAGTATGTCCAATGTAAAACGATCAAAATCAGGTGATATTTGTATATAGTAAATATTTGTATATAGGTAAAAATATAAAGCCATTTTTCTCCCCCGCTTGTTGACTGATTTTATTTTTGTTTATTGTAGTTATTGACGTGCTTTATGTTATCTTTATATATATATTTCTTCTTCGGTTTTCGCTGGTGGTAGGATCTCGTGTGAGTCCGCAAGGGTACCACCACCCCGCCTATTTCTGCCGTGAAGCAGTAATGCGTTTCGGTTCGAAGGGTGGGGTAGCCATTGTAACTATACTTGAGACCTTAGAACTTATATCTCAAGGTGGGTGGCACATTTACGTCGTAGATTTCTATGGGCTCCAGTAACCACTTAAGTCCAGGTGGGCTGTGAGCTCGTCCAACTCATCTAAGCAATAAATAAAAAAATAAAAGAAACGGCTAGACCGATTTGAATGATTTTTTTTGTATGCGTTTGGGTGGCACCCTGGATGGTTTAGATTCACAAATCAGCCCGGCAGATGGCGCTGCAGTCGGTATCTAAGTTATTTATCTTTCCTAGAAATAATTTATATGGCAAAACAAAGTTTGCCGGGCCAGCTAATTTAGTAAAAAGATTTTAAAATGAGTATTTTTTCTTAACCCAAAAAAGGAAAAAAAGGATACAATAAAAAAGAGAAAAAGTAAAAGAAAATATGAATCTAATTGTTAACGTGCTAATTATTATGGTCCAATCTGGAACACTGGGCGAATAACCAAGTGGTAATAATATCTGGTGATCGATATTAGCAGTGATAGAATATTAATAAATTTAAAGGACATATTCCGAAAGATAAACTGGGTGTCACTTCCGTAGGCCATGAACGTTACAAAATTATTTTTTTATTATAAAGAAATAGTCAAACTATTAAAAGTTCAAACAAAAAAAAACCAAACAAACGATTACACAAAATTTTCTTAATCAACCTTCTATGGGGGAGGAGTTACCTCAAGCCTGGTTTTTCAATTCGATGTTTTTTTTTATTATCTGAATTATTGGTTTGAAGTTTTAAAATCAGGCATAGCTTCTCATAAATATGTTTTATATTTTCAGTTTAAAAAAAAAGTGAGTGTACTACTCAGATTTTATTGTATTTAAGACGTCCGATGCGTTCGTGTTGAGGGAAGCAACGGTGCTGGAATCCCGTTGGCGTGCACCAGTTTTTCTAATGAATTACGTACTTAACAAGTGTTCATGATTGACTTCCACGGTGAAGGAATAACATCGTTTAATAAGAATCAAACCCGCAAAATTATATAATTGAAATTGAAATTAAAATTACTGATGGTAGGACGTCTTGTGAGTCCGTACGGGTAAGTACCTACGGACACACAAGAATCACAGATTAATATTATAGTCACAGATTACTGTGTAGTACTACTGCATGACGGTATATACCGAGAAAATCTCCTAACAAAAGATGGATGGATGCCTTAATGACTATCATCAGATACATTCGGGGTTATGAGTAATGTCCATTACAGGGAACGAGTTATCAAGGACTCCGAAGCTTTTTCATAAGATTTGATAAGCATGAGTTGGCGTTTGACCGGCTCGCCCTCATCCATCAGATCTTCTCAGAGCCGATAAATTCCTACATATAAGAATTTATATTACGTAACTGGAATGGTTAGGAATTTGAACGTTTTCATCAATACTTGCAAACTCACTGTTTAAATTTAGTGATCTCTCAAGCAACGCTTATACTTAATATCAGAATTATTTTGCGCTAAAAGAAAATCCTGCCGACTAGAGGTTTAAAATTAAGAAAAATTAAAAAAAACTTTCAAATTGTCGTAAAGGATTCTTATTCGTATCTAATAAATTATAGTAATACTGTAACAAATTCTTTATTCTGCCCATGGTTTACATTCTACATAAAGGTAAAAAAACTTAATTATATTTGCAATATTTTTATTAATATCTTCTATGCTTTCATTTTGTAGATATACTTTCAACATTCCATTCACATGTACAGGATTGGATCAGTGACAATCTAAAAGAAATCTACCGCCAGTCACAGATATTATTGTCTTTATTCTTCTTCGCTTGTTACTTCATTCTGGTTTTATGGAAAAAATTTAAAGCGGTTCTAAAAGTTGAAATGTTCAAAATTCAACACTCGGTCTTAAAATAATACTTAATAAGGCCTAGACTATTGTGTACACCGAACCTTACTGGTGTATACAACTTATTTTTCAATGATGACGGGAGCTAGATAGGAATAAGAAACAAGGTTCAGCATTGGCAATTAATGCCAAGTGGAATGCAAGAAAACTACGGTACATCTATCGCTACATATTATTTAGTTTTGAAGAATTTAAATGTTTTAAGCAGCAGATTGAAAATTTTATAAAAGGTGACTCATCGTAAAGTATAATAGTGAGCCTTAGCCCCCTTCCACAACACATATCCGATGCCATTAATCGCGTTTGTCAGGTCACTAGGCCAACAGCCGCCTCCTGTACCTTGTAAAAATATACAACAATAAATCTGTCAATAGCAATACCGAAACATTTTTCTGTCGTGTTCTAGTTTATGAGAAAAATCAATGAATGGCTCTTCAGACTTATTCATTCTTGTCCGCATCGGTGCAAAACGAGCCGAATACTTAACTGACAACTAAATGGTAAAATTATCAGTCAACTTTCTTGTTTACTTAATAGATATTTAATTATATTTAAGAAGTTACAAAGATTTTTCACTTCGGGACTATTTAAATTTCTGATTAAAAATTTTGAAAACAAAAATTTTGAACCAACCTTGCCAGAGACCAGTATTTTTTTGTATTTTTTTATAATTCTTTAGTTGGGCAAACGAGCTCATGGTTCAACGGTTGTTAAGTGATTATCTTAGTCCATATCTTCAATCAAAATTCCTGTACCTGCATTCACTTGATAAATCAGATTAAAATCTTAATTGTAGTGCTAATAAGTTTAAATTGAACAGTGTTGCGCCTTAAGCATGGTATAACAGTTGTATGTATTTACCCTTGCGGGCACAGAATACGCGATTCCACCAATGAACTACACTTCTGTGTGCTTAGTGCGAGTTTTTTAATGTTCTCGATAGCGTAAAAGTGAACTTAAATTTGTATGGAGTTGAAACGTTTGCCTACGTTTGCCGCTAGGGGCACTGTTCTAATTGCATACTTCAGAGTTAACACTAAGCAAGCACACTGCTTGAAAAATAAACCTACTTATTTTTAATGTAAAAGATTTTAGGCGATCACGTTTTCTTCGGTGATTGACTGAGTTTTTGTGAACGTGGTATGTGATAATCGACGGGGCGACACGACGCGTCGACCCACTGTATGATTGATTGGGTTTGGCGCAGCGTCGCCCCTTCCCAGCACCCGCTGAGACAACCGTGCTTCACATGATGTTCATTTGTTCTGACTTGTTAGACACATCGCGTTCCCGCGTTCCATCGAACATTACGTGATTAGAAAACATCATTAGTCCCTCAGCACCAAACAACATCGCATACTTTCCGTTGTACGATATTTGTCTTACATGTGCCGATAGTGTTTTGCGCAACGCTTATTCGTACTGACTAGTGTATTTTATTTATTAAGTAAATTGTATTTACATCATACTCTAATAGTGCTAATTGCATTGACGTTTATTATAGCTACACTGTCTATTCTAATCCATACTTTTCTAGAGTTGTCTTCATCCTCTTCCTATGTGATACCATATTGCCGTTCGAAGTTACAGTTTTATGGTCTTATTTCTATCAGTGTTCCTTTTGTTTCTAAAGTCTAGCGAAATGGTTTCCGGTAAACATTCAAGACAAAAGGAAACACCAACTTTACTTTTACATTTCAATATCGTACCTTAGGTCTAATAGTCTGATATCGCATGACATGAATATAACTATAGATTTTTTCATTAGGATTCCGATTTCGTCTTGTACCTATATTTAAAAAAATCTTAAATGAGGCATAATACTAATTGTTTGCCAGAAAACATCATATTCGTAAAAGCATTACGCAGTTTTGAATAATACATTAATGAGTTATTTGGTGCCCCATACTGGATTTACGAAACCTGCCAATTTCTTCTATAAAGCCGCCAGGCCTATGCCGCGAGTTGGACCCCTAAATTTTCGTAATTATTGGTGATAGATTTTGTGGAACCCTGATCGGTAATGCGTGTGTTTGTTCAAAATTCCAGGAAACGTATCGTCGATGGGCATGCAGCATGATGGTGCCGCTGTGGGTAGTAGACGGAGCGGAGGAGGCCGGCGAGGAGGAGAGCAGACCACGGCGGGCGCCCGCAGAGCACGCGGTGCGGTGGCGTGCAAGGCACCTTGAGCGCGTCGGGCACCTGGACAGGCGGCGCGGCGGCGGCGTGGTGGGACGCTGGGTGCGCGCCGCAGCCGCAGGACCCGGCCGGCCCCCCCTTCGGCTTAAACCTTGCCTCTCGGTCTGCCAGCTTGTCGAACAGCACTGCCCCTACTTTCTACCGGCAGATCGTGCGCCCGCATACCCCACGCAATACGCTGGCGAACCAACCTTCTTATGTCTCGGTAATATTAACAACTATCTAAAAACTCTTTTACTTTTTTCTTTGGTTATTGTGAGTGGTAGATATAATTCAATCTGAAAATCTTCTTATTTATACTGCCAGAACTAAAGATGCTATTCGTTCGTTCTGCGTGAAATGAAACGTAAAAGTCAATTTTTTTTTTTTTACAACAGTACATAGTATAATATTAAATATAATGTTGACGAATAACACCTGAGTCGTCCGTGACCACGAAAATTGTAAAGTATTCGAAACGTCGGAAATATTAGCGTAACCGTAAAACTAGTTTACATTTAGATCAAAAACTGAAGAGAAAAGAGAAATTCTAAATGCAACGAAAAATCCAAGGAAACAAATCTGCGCGCTATAAACGAGATAATCAGTCTGAGCAAGATTCAGTTTCCCAGTCTAAGGACAATTCAATAGACAAGTAATTTTATATTCTTGAGGCCAATTTCCCGTGTCCTATTTTATCACAAAACTTCTCTGTCGCGTTCATCTCTGGTTGAGTTTCTTGAGGATATTCGTTCTCAAGTGCAGCGTAGGCATGTTGGCTAGCTAAATAATGTAGACTAATAAAACTACAAACTGAGACTAGTAGGCTAGACTAGACTAGACTAGGCTAGTCGGGTTATAACGGGAAAAAGGCTTATTAACAGTAAAACCACAAGAAGATTTTTCTTCAACTTGGATTTGTGCTATCTATTTAGTATTTACCCAACATTTATAATATATTTCATTTCATATATTAGTAGCAAAATACCTCCCCGATTAGCTATGATTTCAGCTCATTGTATGAAAAACATCAATTTCTTGAAACTACTCGAGTGATCACTATGATGGTACCTATGTTGATGGTACTATGATAGAAAACTTCGCTAGGGTGCCTTCTACCTGCCTAACTATTATACAAAGGTTTGTCATAATCAGATTTAGGAACACAAATAAGACGAACATAATATAGAAAAATAGTTTTAGATAGACCGAAGATTTTTAATTCACTCCCATATGAAAGTTGAGTGATATGTAGTAATAAATTATGTTATACATTTAACGAATACAGTAGTCAGAGGCTTGGTTGTGTCCCCGGCATTGTAATTGTCAATGAGCAACTTGATTAACAGGTAGCTCGTATGCTTGTATGGATAGGCTTTAAGATGAAATTACTCTAAATTAGATTTTTCTCGTCTCATAGCTTTAAGCATTATTCTGACAGCAAGATCGATGATCTAAATGTTAAGTTTTACTGATTTGGATTTTATCGAAGCTATACGAATGTATGGACAAAATTTTCTATTTGCAAAATCGGAAATATTTATTCATCTCTAATTTAAAAGTACTTTCATGATTTTTTTTATTGCTTATACACCCATCTAAATGGGTGGACGAGCTCACAGCCCACCTGGTGTTAAGTGGTTACTGGAGCCTATAGACATCCATAACGTAAATGCGCCACTCTGCAATGCCCTAAGGTCTCAAGTATAGTTACAACGGCTGCCCCACCCTTCAAACCGAAACGCATTACTGCTTCACAGCAGAAATAGGCGGAGTGGTGGTACCGGCGCAGACTCACAAGAGGCCCTACCACCAGTTATTACGCAAATTATAATTTTGCGGGCTTCATTTTTATTACACGATGTTATTCCTTCACCGTGGAAGTCAATCGTGAACATTTCAGAATAATAATAATCGTAAATTTCAGATTCACGCATTCCCGAGACTGGGGCTCAGGCGAACAAGTCCAACTACGGAAGGGAGGATTGTTGTTATTGGTATTGCGCGTCGGGGTTATGTCACAAGTGCGAGCCGGGGCTGATCGAGGCGCCGCTGCCTCGTTCTGAGCAATGCGCGGCGGTTGAGGAGCGCGTCCCCACGTGCTCGGTGCCCTATCAAGCGCCCGCCGCGGCAGCCGCTGCAAGCTCCGCCGAATCCCTGTGCCCTCTCTTACTACTCCTCGCACTCGTGCTAATAGTTATTACGGCACAATATCGGACCCGTTGGACCGCCATCACGTTTCTAGTGAATATGTGCGTTTCGAAGTTATAGTTATACGTTAACGTGCGTAGCACTCGCGTCGACTTACGCGATCGTCGGATCGCGACTAGAACTTCTAATAGTGCTGAACTTATGAAAATTAATAACGTGCGGACAAAAGTTCGATGATCCCTGCTTCTCGCGGTGCCGATAACAGATCGGCCGCCGCGAGCGAAAGCAGGAATAGACTGTAAGTTAATATTTATACCTAAATAACCGGTTAACCCGCGACAGAAACACCAAATTATTTCAATCGATAATTTTTGTAATAACTCAAGTAGATGCTGTAAGCCGACGTTCCGGCCATTTGTTTTCGGCATTTATGTATGTTTGTATGTAAACGAGTAATAAATAGTCTTATGTTAATTTACACGATGATATTTATTACATGAAGTTTGAAATATATAATATATATATCTATATATTTTACGAAGATCATTGTTCATAGACATGCTATGTTTTCTAATAATTTATATCAACAGAAACATTGTTCGTATCACTCAATTACAATAATTAAAACATGTGTGGTGAATATTGCATTTCTTAGGGATCAGGCGATGGTTATAATTTATTCCAATATTTTATTACATAATGACCAACATTTATGTGCAGTTAATTAAATCAAGCACGTTCTTAAATTACATTAACCTTTTTGTTATGACTTTATTGTCACTACAAGCATATAGATATCTATCGATTCAGGGTTTATAAGTTGCATATTAATCCAACAACATTATGAAAAAGTTCAACGTTTTGAGAGAAAAAAAATATGTTTGGAATATTCACTTAGTCTAACTTATTTACACATATTTAGTGAGTTTATTGTGAATCTAAGATCGGTTTTATTATGTTTATGCTAAAAGTGTATTTCGAAGAGGTTTCCACCTTCTTTTTTTCTGTAGAGATCATCTCGATTTATATTAGCACGTATATTTTTCCGTTTATTGTACTGAAATTGTAATAATCAAAGTATTAAAGTTTTTGTTCATAGTCATATAAACCATAAAGTTTAATATTTTATATTACTAGCGAATGAGTAACGAAAACTATGATTTTTCTAATACCCTTCATAAAGCTAGATTTAAATTCGTTAAAAAAAAAACAGTTTTTATTTAATGCTGAATTTTGAACTTATTTTCGCGATGAGTTTAGTTAATGTATGTGAAAAAGAATTAAGTATAGACCAGAGTTTTATTTTTACTCAAATTTTATTCATTTAAAAACGGAAATTTGGTGGAAACTGACGCGAACTTAAAAGTAAATTTCAAACGTACGACAAGAATATGGTTATGTTCCTCCTGAATACAAACTGATTGACGACACCATGCCTGGTCGCTTGATTTGTGGAACGCCTAAATAGTTGGTCTATTATTATTATGTGTAAATTTTGGAGACATTAACATAGGATTAAAGGTAGTTGTTGTTTTGTAAGAATAAAATACGATAAATACATATAATGAATATTATATGTAATATCCGTCTTATGAATTATCAGTCATATATAAAATGGTTAAAGATGGTTTTTATATGAATTGATTTTTAATAATATATAATATGATATGTATTGTATGTACATGTACATGAATTCCATTAATACTAATAATACAATGTCATAACAATTATTGTCATACCGACTATAAATGTTACTGTGTTTTTGAGTTTCCTGTTAATTTTTGGAAAATTTTAAACTTATAGAAGTATCGTTAAACATTATGTGATGAAAATTTAATAAAATAAGACTTAATTGCGAGTCATTTGTTGAAAATACCTCGTTCGAGGATCGTAGTTGTTGTATGCAAATAGTAAACAATAATTAAGTAAGTTATTTTTTACGTTTTTATTGTGTACATAATAATAGAAATATTCGTTATTTCCACTGTCACGTTTATCGAAAGTCGCCGAAGGTGCTAAAGGTCTATTAATGCTTCTTAAGAGTTTATTGAACCCGAACGGATGCTCAGTGGTAATGACTTGATTCGTTTCACGTCTGCACGCCTGGTCCACGACCACTCCTGGTGCGGCCACTGGAAACTCTTCGCTGCTGGCACCGACTCTTCCTTCTATCGTTCGGTACACTTCGTACCTTTATCTATTTTCAACATTGACTAGTGATTCAAGCAACGCCTAGTAGACTACAAAAAATATATCTTCAGAAGCAAAACAATGAAACATTTGCTTATTCGTGAGTAAACTATTATTTCACTCGATGAATAATAATACTACTTACACGTGATCTACAGTGCCTTCACTTGTAAGTGAAAGCGTTGCGCAATGAGGACATTTTCATGGAGTTACAATGTTGCCGTTAAATAAAATAAAAAAAAAATTAAAATTAGTTGTTAGCGACAGACGTAAGTGGAGGGGAATCGTGCTGAATTGATATTCGTAAATTGTACGTATTGAATGTATGAATAGAGCTGGACTCTCGACGAGTTCCATTTACGTAGATATTTTACTAGCTTATCGATGAATCGTCGAGTTTTTATAATAAAATCGTCCATGTTTAATTTGTTCGCTTTTTATAGTATTTGTGATTCCCGTGAACTGTACGTATTTTAGGTATCAGCCCAAATTACGAAGATTGGTAAATATTAGTCGCAACGGCATGCACTGTCGCTCCAATAATATTCCATCCACACAGACGAGTGATTTTCCTTCGAACATTAATTACACAGCTGTATAACTGACGATATTTTCAAATAATAATAATAATAAAAAAAAATAGTTATAGTATTTCTCTTGAAGAGAGTGTAACATAGGTGTTAGTGTTTGAATTGTTTGTATTTATATAAAATAGTAAGTCGGCCGTTTGCAATCGTACCAATTTAGTACAATAACGTATTGAAACTCATGGATAAAATTAGTATTTTGTTGGCCGTTGCATTCTTTTAAATATTCAATAATAAATGTTTATATTTGAATATTAACTATGTTCTCAATCGAAACAAATCTTAGGTATCATGATACAAGAATACTGTTAATGTCTAGGTCTTACAAGTTCACTTATCTTTCGGTAGGGCCACTTTCACGATTTGTACAAGTTTGAAAGCTATTGTATAGTAGATGTATAATGAATTACTAGACCTTAATGAATTGGATCACTTTGGAGCACTCGTTAAGACTTACACATTGATGTTCATCCCTGTCCTTGTGAGTGTTTCTTCTCTGCTATTTCGACGTCTTCACGTAACTTCGCTATCTCTCTATTAGGCGAAATTTATAATTAAGAAGACCAAAATTGTATCAGAATTTGTATAAATAAGTCTTGGAAATAATTCTGAGCATTAGGAACTGAAGTGGATGTAATAATACAAACGTTTCCATTCGTGTAACGATTTAGTACAAGTTGAATGAAAGTAGAATCCGGGCCAAACAATTAATTGTTTATATTATATTTTTATCACTAGAATTCAATTTAAGAATAAAACATGAGTGTTCTAACAAATGTAATTAATCAATTTATTTCAATACTAGATTGTGCAAAAGTGACCTCGGAAATTGTTGGTAGGTCGTATCGAGGGATGTTCATTGTATCCTAAATAAACAGTGTGTAAAACAGAAACCGTCTAATAATTCCTTTTGTTTACAGTGATTAAATAAGCATATATATGCTATTACACATATTGTTTATTCCTGTGGAGAAGCAAGCACGATTCGGTTTAAAGGGCCATTGACCACGTAAGATACAATTTATAATAAACAAAAAAGCGACATCCTCACTACACAACACGCACACGAAAAGTTATTTAGAAATACCGTTCTCTAATCTCTTAATTTATCCATGAGTTGTTATAATCGATAGTGACTAGCGAAAGAATAATTCTATACCAGGAGCTATACTTTCATTAAATTATATGACAACTAAATATTACAAATCTTTTAAAGACGCTTGGGCAAAAGGCAAAGTGACCAATAAACATCCATGCGACGGGAGGACGCAAAGGGTAGGAACTTCTTGCCATTTGTGGTTATTTGTTGTTGTTGTTTTTTTTTTTTTGATAGAACGTGTTGAGAATTTTAGATTTGTTGTGTCATTTTGCCCGACGTTGCCGTAGTTGTGTTCAGTGCAGTGCGGCTCCTTGGTGAGAACGCGGCGGCAGACGTTAAGGGTGCCTGTCCACCGGAGCGGAGCGAGGCAGCGGAGCGGAGAAACGGAGAAATATTAACCAATAAGATTGCACAAAATCAGTTTTGCAATCTTATGATTTTGGACGGGCGGACAGGCACCCTAATGTGCCGCGACAGCCTCAAGCAGTTCCGCTGCCCCCTCTAGTCTTAGAATAACGTATATACATTTCGTTTTGTTAAATGTTTTGTGATAGTGTGTATTTTACGTTTTTGAGTAATGTACGTATATTTTGGGTGTACATAAATAAAATGTAAATGTTTAACGCACAAATAATGAGATACATTATTATTCATGTAAAACGGTTTACGAAAAATTATGTAATAAGCTGTGTAACTGATAAAATTTAATACAAACGTAGGGACTTCTGAGATCTATCTATCGGCATATTACATTTTAGTTTGTAAAGTTAAATCTGTTATTTCACTGTTCTTTTGTTTGTTAACCATACAGATACATATAAATCAATCGAAATATAAAACATTTACTCACAAAACAATAGATTGTTTTAAGTTAATGTTATTCTTGAAATTCAATTTAGTACTGATCTCACAGTAAAAAAAGAAATAAGTATGTTTAAATTGCTTTCGGGGTCGACAAAAATGGAAATCGGCTGTCTGTTTTTTTTTTTAAATTCAATAAATTGTAATGTAAGCAAAACACCAAGACGTAGCCTTCTACTTTATATTCAATTCATTGGAATAAGCACGACGTTACGTGACTCAAACGTTATTAAATTGTGCACTTTAAATATAGTTTTTTTAACTAACACATATGAGGGAAGTGTTAGAAATATCAATAATATTACTCTAGATAGGTGTGGTGACCTTTAGCGATGTTCACCACTCAATAATCATTCATCGAAACAGCACATTACGTCGATCTAAGGTGTAAGTATAAATATGGATATGCGATCCTCGTATAATTTTATGCAGAAGACATTCCAAGGAAAATGGATTTGATTGTAGCATATCCACAAGAACTGACATTTGATTCGGAGCCACAGATAAGACAAATTAATGGATCATCAAATATGTTCTATAATATCAGAGCATTACTAATTGAACATACTAATAAAGACGACAAAAATATTTCTATACAGAAACACTGAAATCTATTATAAAATAATCGAAGGAAAAAAGCACGGGACCTATTTTTAAAATTTCGAATGCATTCGAAATTGATTACTTATTGTATTGCTGTATGAAATTGATTACTTATTGTTTATGCTACAATCAGCTCATCAAGAGAACAACGAAAAACGTGATTAAAAAAAGGATTTCTATTCCGTTCTTGGTGAATGGTGTTTATTATTTTTCGATAAGCTCAACGAACACTATAATACTTTATTTGAATAAGAATATTGGTGTTTTCAGAATCTTTAAAAACGTTATAAAATTAAGTATATACTTTACTGTGTGACTGTCGAATCTAACATAAAATAAGATTGTGTCCATTTTATGTCTGTACAGATGCAGAAAAATTCGTATCGTATAATTTTTAAGAAATTTCACGACGTGTTATTATAAAAAAAAAGTATTTTGTATTGAACACATTTAAAACCCCGAAAGATTTATTATTACTCTGCTCCAAAAAAATTCTGTTAGCGATGTTACTAAAACATGTAAGTAGGTCTGTTGCGAACTGAAACAATCTCAATTAAAACATTAAGGATTTTTTTTTAAATTATTTCTAGTTAGTTAAGACTAACCTGTTTTTTAATTTAAAATTTAAGTTACTGTACGTCGGAATCGCGTTCACGGAACTTTTGATTTCAGTCTTGCAACAGATCTATTTAATTGCTTGTTTCTGATTTATTATAGGTGTGTAAATTGCGTAAATTATTGCTGTTCTCGTCTAAATAAATATCTTGATATTGTTTTAGTAGAAAATATAATAATTTTGTTTTAAATACTTTAATCTATTGGCGAATATAGCTTACAAGCTGTAGGAACATGACAATCATTCCCAAAATTGAAAAGCAATTTATATGCTATAAGATGTTTGTAAATGATTGTTGTGGATGACAAGCCTTTCCAGTCAAATTTTTTTGTTTGTTGTTAGATATGTATGAACATTTTCTTGCTTAGGAGTAACTGAATTCTCGATGATTAGTTTGTTTACTGTATCACTACAAGATGGATGATGACATAATATATAAAAAAACGAACTTCTGCTATTCTTCGTTCTTATTACTTTCATTAAGTTCTAGATCATATAAATATATGTTGAAACTAGAGCAATAGAAAGTAACAGAAGATGATTGTTTAACATAAATTAACAACAATTTGTAAATTAACTTGAAATGAATCATCGACCAATTCTAAATGTGTGTCACATGTCTTCATAATGCCTTCAACAAGATTAATAAGATATGTTACAGCAATTTAACATTTATAAATATTATCATAACATCGCCTATTTGATAGTGAGAGAAGTAGTGTAGTGTAAAGTTTAATATATGATTAACGATGTAAGGCACGATACGATGGCGCCGGCTCACACTGCCACAGTACGCGCTCTGATATATTGATATGATCTAGGATGTATCGTAGGTGTTTCTCGAGTAGTGGTCGTGTTACATAAGTCTTAAGTTTGCCTTCTATGATCAGTACGAGAGCGAAATCATTGATCGGTACTTAGGTTTTTCTCACATCCACTAGTTATTCTGATCGCGTGCTTCGGAAAATTTTCAATCAGCGATAGGTAAGAGTGAGCGGCATTTTTGAAAAAAATATATACGAGAACCGCCTGTTTAACCAGAGCGCTACGCCGCTTTGAGGGAAAATATACGAAAACCGCCTGTTTAACCAGGGCGCTACGCCGCTGTGAGGGCGCTACGTTGCTGTAAAGGCGCTACGCCGCTGTAAGGGCGCTACGTTGCTCTCGTCTACGCTATGTAGCGGCTACTGAGGTGTGGCGTCGCGTCGATAGCCGTGCCCTACCGAACGCGCCGCTGGTGCAGTCGGCAAATCTCAAGTAGACAAGTCAATTTCATCCTTTTCAATATTCATAGACAGATGTTTATTATGATTTGCATTTTCTCTGAAGTTAGAAAGATCGAGACAGTAGGTCGCACGACCGTGTTATGATGAATTGTGGAAATGTTTATTAAATACGTTTTGAAAGTGGTGTTAAAATATTAACATATAAACTTGTAATTACTAACTTAAGAAGAATTATTGGAAAACAACAAAAAACGTTAAATAAACCGATAAAAATTAAGTGCGAGTATTATTTGTTGTCACTCACCTAAACGAATTCGTTCATTTAAGAAACATAGACAAAATATGAATGAAGGAAATGAATAAAACGGGTACGGGTGTCTGTTATTTTTTATTACAAAAATCATCGCTTACGTCAATATCACACTCGAACTTACATCATCTATTTATATTTAAGTATAAAAACTATGACTTCATTAAATTACATTGTTCTCACAGAGTAAAAAAGTACATTATTCATCATAGCGAGACGCTCGATATACGAGGAATATCGAACAACGCAAACAGGCACTCAGTACACGTTCACAGTCGGTGACATCGTCCTTGAGGTCACGCGGTGGATGATTGCAGCAACGTAGGCTACACGTGGCCCCCGCGATGTGCGCTTTACTCGCACTACACAAGGCACGTGCGCTACGTACGCAACACGTGCCTCAGCGTGGTCACGACCACGACCAGCACGCTGGTTAGTGTTGGCCGCGCGATTACACCGTCGTTCTCCAAACTAGGCGTGCCGTCATCTGTAGAATCCAAAAGAAAACGTCCTTAACCGAACTAGGCATGTGAGCACATGGTGCGAAGTGCAATAGTGTAAACATTGTGGACATTCGATACAACTGCTGCTACATTCAAAATAATAAAAGTTAACAAGTGCGCACCAAAGATGACATATAGATTTAATGGTGAAAATACCTGGATGGGACAGTAAATGAGAAGCGAATATGAGATTCACAAAATCTAGCGTGAATTTCAAATGTTTTCACAAAATTATTTTGCTTTCATATTTGCATATGAAAAATTATTCAGCAATGCCAGGGGCAGAGCCAAGCCGCTGCCTACCATAAAGTACTCTCCGCAAGCCTCGTTTGAAGAAGGACATATGATAGCTAAGTTTTGTAATAAGTTTTGTAATTATGCGAGCACAGTTGAAATTCACGATAGTGTTACAAAATGAAACAAAAGAAACCTACAGATGCGTGTGAATGGTGTCGTGGCGGAGGTCGTTTTGAGGCCTCCTAATACATGAGGCGGCACGGAACCACAATCATTATATTAAAGTCTGGCTCCGTCCGACTGAACGTTGACCACTGAAACATAACTTTTCTTTAGACTTTAGTACTTTAGTCGACCAAAACCGAATCCCGATTGTGCGTCACAACACTACTAATAACTCTAATCAAATATACAAATGCTACTAAATATGTGATTATATGTATTATCAACGCGATTATGCATGCACTAAAATACAAGTTATTTCGTTAATTTCATAAATTATCTATAATATCAAATACTTCACATGTAAGTATATTAATTAATCAATAATACAAATTCATGCATCACTCTGTTATCAACAAAATCAACATATTATAATTTATTATTGTTCATAATTTAATGTTTTAGTATTTTTTTTAAAATTTATAGTCATGCTACCAATCTCCATCAGTTTAGTGTTGAAAACCAAACAGCGTTCAAAAGCGAACACGTGGTGTTAAACTTTCATTAAATATTTCTTACATTAACTTAAATGTTATCCTTTCTTTAATTCCAATTAATCTTACAATTAGATGTTGATTACTCTTATTTTTATTCTATGCTTCGCGTCTAAAAAACGAATGAATATTTAATTTTATTATTAAGTGGTCTTTCTTAAATTATCCAACACCGCGTCAATAGAAATCTCTCAGTCGTTGTGATTGTGAAACAAATATTGATAACGTATGACTATGAAGCGAAAAAACGAAATAAATAAAATTGTGAAGTGCACCCATACGGAATCAACAGTTCATGATTTAGAACATACATAACCTAAAATGAAAATAAACGATTATGGAATGTTACAAAAACATACAAACCATAATGTAAAACTTTAGGATGCTTATAAAACCAAAAGCAGATAGAAAGTAATACAAAAGTTTTCGTGCGAGCAAATAATGCGAAAGCAAAATAGTAATCATGCAGGCGTCATGCAAAGATTTCTGAAGTTGGACGTACAGGCAGATTGTGACAAGCTCGCCGGTTCTAAAATCACCGCTTAAGCTTTTTTAATCTCACTGGTATTCTCATATATTTGCTATGTAACTAATTGAGTCTTTTTTCTGTATGCAAACATTATATGTACAATGTTCAGGAACTCTCCACCGAGGCTATTTCCTGAACCAGAAGAATGATCTGGGAGCGGATGATTTTACACCTAGAAAAACAAACACACACATCGAAAAGTGAACGGTGTTATCGCGGCCACAACCAGTACTTATTGCCAAACACACGATAGACATCTCGTTGCGTTCTCCTAAGGAGTGTCAGTGACAACGTCAGTGACAAATTGTTAACATTCATGTGGTGCATTCAAACGATCAGTGATTAGCCTTATAACATGTACCTTGTTGTTAAACAAAAAATACTTTAATCGATATCTCAATCGATCACTATTAATAAACATCGTTCTAAATGTGATAACAACATTAAGTGCAAAATTTGCTGCCAACTTGTGCACTGTGCAAAAATTGCTTTGCATTTAAACGTGAAATATTATATTTGGGAAATTTTAAAATATCGTGTGTGGTGTTCTATTAAAGGTAATAAAAAGTTTGCACGCTATTGTTTGGTGCAAACATTTTTTATTACAGCAGGTAGGTACAAGGCGCCCAGAAGCCGTAGTCTCGTGGTCACAGGGACCCAGCGTCCGCCACTGCCCTTCCAACAAGCCCACACCGACGAATAAAGTTAGTTTTTCAGGAGAATTAGTTTTAATTAAGCCTGAATTTTAGTATAAAGTTAGTTACGCAGTTTTTTTTAGATTAAAGTCGCTGTGTAGATTATAGTAGTACATCTTATAGTTAGTGTTGTCATTTTTGTTAGTTTATTAAAATCTGAAGCATTTCTGGCACTTTTACATATTAGATAAAATCAAGATGTCGATGTGAAAACACAATTATTAAACACATAAAAAAATAAAAGAGTACACATTATTAATTTACGAGATATTGAATTGAAAATTAATAGGAATTCTATTTCTACGGGAGGTTTTGAAGGTGAAGACTATTAACTAACAGAGGACATCCACATAAAGACACATAGCAGACATTGATAACAGTGGAGTCGCGGCGGCTGGTACCCTTAGACATGTTTTTCTGTTTGTGTTTATGTTTTATAGAGATTACCGGTATTCAGTGACGGATTTAGGCTTGATACCGCCCTAGGCCCTCTTTATCGCGCCGCCCATTAAGGTTTAGTAGAATAAATTTTATTATATTGCCAACTAATTATAATATTTTTTTTTAATTTAAAATACCTTTATAATTTAATTACAAAAATTATTCTGAACTCATTTTCAAAGGAGACTGTCTTTACTTTTTTTTTGTCTCAGAAATTTTGGCAATACAAAAATTATGCCGCCCCTCAATTCATTCAAACCCAGAGCCCAGGACTCACGGACCTAGGCGTAAATCCATTACTGCCAGTATTGCACTTAAATCGAACATCGAATGAGACGGGTATAACACAATGTAACTTTATACCAACAATATTGGTATTGCTTTAAGTTGCTGTCTATGGGTTATTTCTGTGATCCAAATAATAATAAGTTTTTATTGATTTAATATTGTTTGATACTGATACTGTTCTATATAATAGGTTTGCGTAATTTCTGGAAGTAACGCGTATTGAGATCCCATATTTGAGGGTACCACTATCTGGCCTATTTTTGGTATACCTAATATGTTGGGTAGGTTGCCTTCGAAGGCAGTTGTAATCCAAAAGATTGTCGCTTTACAAAAACAATTGAGACTGCTCACGATTTTTTTTGTGTTCTAATATCTATGAGCTCCGGTATATTTTTAAAATTCGGTGGATCGAAAACTCGTCTGCTTGTCTATAGAACTAGTTAAGTAAATCATCATGTTAATATGACCCACACGGCATTAATAATTTAAATAAATTTTCCGGAACAAAAATAAGTTAGATGACACATGTACACACGTAGAGGACCCCAAGCTGGCTCAATTATCAAATCGGCCAACCCCAAATCGAATAGATACTTATGAGGATGAACGAGATTGTATTAAATTATTCCTATTTTCGTTTAACTTCCACTGGAAACATCGACTGGGGCCTATTTATATTTCGGGTCTGGTGATGTTTGTTTTATTAACTTATTAAATTTATTTTTTGTGTGTGTTCATCCTAAGAGTATAAGTGTTTTAGTGAAGTATATGTGTATGTGTGTGCTGGTTCCTGGGCGCCCGTCCTACCTGCGTCGAAGGTAATGTCCCCGACGTCGTCATCGGCAGGAACAGTGTCGTCTGATAGTCGAGCGTTACCTCCGACGGTGCCGCGCGGCGCGCTGCTGCAGCCCAACCACCAGAACGCGGTTGAACGCGGGAACTGAGGGTTGTCTGTGTCCACCTAAACGTGCAAAGCATTTTCACAATTAATCTATTAAGCTCTATATATAAAAATGAATTGCTGTTCGTTAGTCTCGCTAAAACTCGAGAACGGCTGGACCGATTTGGCTAATTTTGGTCTTGAATTATTCGTGGAAGTCTAGAGAAGGCTTAAAAGGTGATAAAATATAAAAAAGCTCGGAATTAAATAAAAACAAACAATTTTGTTTTTCCTTTCATGTGTCCCTTTTATGTGTCTTTTATTTATCGATTGAGGCACTACGAAGTCTGCCTGGTCAGCTAGTACTGGATAAAACCCGTTCTGTGTGCTTAGTGCGAGTTTTTTAACTTCTCGATCGCGTAAAAGTTAACTCAGATTTGTATGGAGTTGGAAGGTTCCATTTGTTAGGGCACAGCTGTTCCAATTCTATACAAATTTGAGTTAACTTTTAACCGAGAAGTTAAAAAACTTGCACTAAGCACACTGTAGTGTTTAGTAATGTAGACTTGTTTCTTACAGTTCTGTACATACAGAATATAGAACAGATATAATTATTATTGTGCATTATACAACAAAGTAACAATTAAATAAAGGAACACAATACGCAATTAAATTCTAAACTGCAATGGACGATGATGTCGCTCAAAGCGATTTCTTCCAGACAGCCGTTTCATGGACAAGAATATAGAAAACAAACATTTGTTTGTTTACATACATATATGTATTCAATTCAAATTCAAATTCAAAATCATTTATTTCAACTTGGATGTCATCAAAAACACACTTGTTGAATGTCAAAATGTAAAAGAAAATATTAACTCTACCACCGGTTCCAAAAAAAGCCACAGTCCTGAGAAGAACCGGCGAAACAAACTCAGCGGGCTTTTTTTTTTTTTGTATTTTCTCAACTATTTTCTTTTTTTTTAAACAAGAAAACATATTTACAGTATACAAAAAAACGATGCGATGCGATGCGATCTATTTGGTAATAACTAAGGTGCACATATTTGGGTAGGGACAAGTCCTGGAATTTTTATAGATTTTTTTCGGTACTGAAACTGTGTTCCGAATCAATGATAACCATGCTTCAACTATTCAACTAGGAACACATTATTGTTTTCCTGCAGAAATAGGCAAGATCCTTGAAGAAATGAACTGCGAAACTGCATTTACGCTTATAAACGGAATTAGGTAGAAACGTATCAAAACTAACACTGAACAATCTGTCGTTGAATCTCCAATATGATCCCCCCTTGAAAAAGTAGGTGTATCCGTTAGTGTACTGCAACGCTGCATCGATGTTATCAGGTATTCCATCCCAGTTAGACAAAGGCTTCGGGTAGGTAGCTTTCACGGGGGGCCGTTGTGCAGGGTCAAATCGCCAGAATTTCGAGCCCTTGTAGAAATAGATCTTGCCGTTGCCGGACCAAACCAAAGCCGCATCTAGGTTATCTGGGATACCGGTGAAGCCTGTAGCAAAACAGTGAATAAATTTAATTGATTTTAGATAGTTAAAAAACTAAAATCTACTCTGCGGCTTTGTGTTGTTTTGTTACCTACTTATTGTATGTACGTATAAATTGTGAATTTACAATATGCACGTAATTTTTAAACGTACTCACAATAAATTGTTAGGTTATTTTTGAAGTCATCGTGGCCTAAAGGATAAGATGTCCGGTGCATTCGTATGTAGCGATGCATCAGTGTTCGAATCCCGCCGGCAGGTACTAATTTTTTGTTTTTGTTACCAATTAAACCAATTGTAGATAATGTATATTTTCATTAAACGATCGTGGTCAATGAAAATAAAAGTAAGAAAAAATTTAAGCAATATTATTTATTTTGAACAAACCTTCACTAATATCCTTGGGGTAATCCCCGTCCATCTTCTGCCCATTGTACCTCCAGTACTTCGAGCCCTTAAAGAAGTAAGTCTTGCCGTTCTTGTAGGTAAATGCTGCATCAATGTTTCCGGGGAGACCAGGCCAGGCTCGGGAAATAAGACGCGGGTACCCAGCCGCTACGCCATCTTCAGTTAGCCTCCAGTAATGGTCGCCTGTAAATAATTGGGAAATCAAAATATTTCAATTTTGGTTTGTGTGACAATGACAAAAAGCATAAAATATATAAAAAAATAACTAGCTGTACCCGTCCGCTTCGCTGGGCATTTAAAATTAACATTATTATTTCTCACCGCCACAAAGATTCTCATCATTAACGCCCCCGCAACTGATGTAGGGAGTCCAACATTCATATAAATATTAGCCTATCCATTAAGTACATGTATCTTTTACATGGATACCAAGTTTCAAGTCAATCGGATGCATGGTTCAGTAGTTATAACGGAACATCCGTAAAAACCACTGTAGATTTATATATTAGTATAGATAATCAATAGTACCTTTGAATACAAAAGTCGAACCGTCGGCAGAATTAAAGATAGTATCAATACGAGGATCAGCGCAGAGAGCCGGATCCTCAGCTGACGGCTGCTGCGTGGTCGCTCGAGGAACGGAAGGTATCAGTCCGCCGCCACCGCCACCAATGTCTGTCTGGGTCTTGTGGCCATAAAGCGACTGTAAATTATATTTTAACACGCTGTCATTAACTTGAACTGGATCTACTTATGAAATGTTTTACCGCAATATTTGCCAAACTCAAGACGTCCAACTAATTTGGAAATTCCATGATTTTTGGTCTAGTATCATAGGTTAGGGAAAAGATATCTTAGCTTAGGGCAAAGATATCTTAGGTAAAGCCTAAATATTTGTGTTTGTCATGGAGATAGTCGCGCAACTTTTTAAAAACAATCAAAACATAATGTTTCAAACATTCAACGTAGACTTCAGAAATTAAACATAAAAAAGAAGGGCCCACAATTCGATGATTGTTTTTCCTCGTAGAAATTGAGGTATTCAACTACGGAACGATCATGTTTTGTAAGAATTTTGTAATCGTAACCATTTTAAATCAGAATTTATGAAACGGATTGAGAAATAGACATTCGTAAACTAGGTCAAGGACAAAATTAAATAAAAGTGTCACGGCTTCGGCGAAAAATATAGAGAATTATGAAAATTTGGTATCTGTTCTATTATATAGTGATTTTTTCATTACGGTAAACGAAAAAAAAACCTAGATTTTGACAACAATACTATTTATTGCAAAGGTTGAATAGAAAACACGTTAACAAACTGACCTCGAGAGCAAGTCTGGAATTTAGCAATCTGAAATTTATTTTCTAGTGCTGTTAACAGATTTTGAAGATTATAAAAAAAAAACGATTCTTTTCGCTTTTTCCGAACTGTTTGTTTTGCAAGTAATAGTAGTAGTAGTAGTAGTAGTAGTAGTAGAATTTCTGCTCACCATTAGACAAATCGCGCGGAGTACGTTGGGTATTATGCCACAAATACGCAGATCAGACAACAGTGCTTCATGGCGCGTATCTTACATTGCCACAAACTTAACTGACCAACACTGATGATGTGTTTTTTTACATTCAAAATTATATCTTTACCTGAATTCCTTGGACGTCGTCCTGATCGAGTTGGAAAGCAGGATCGTAACCGCGATAAAACGGCGCCATCAATGCGGATCTTACATCGCTGTGTGAGAGACCCAGCGAGTGACCAAACTCATGTGCTGCTACCTGGAAGTTACGTTTAATTGTCACCGAACCCTTCGTTGGTCTCTTGATTAATTCCTGACTATTGAGTTACTAGGTCAAAGGTCAGAAGTAGTTTTTTTTGTTTGTTAAAGATATGTAGTAGTCGGGATTTGGATGTAATTGTTTTCGTTTTGTAAGTGTTCCCGGTAGCAATGGAAGAGGAGAAAAGCTTTGGGCTTTGAATACGTATCATTTACTATTTAATATTTAAAAGTTGTATTTAATATCCAGCCGCAAGAACTACAGGTAATTTTTTTTATTGCCTTTGTAGGCAAACGAGCGTTCGGCCCACCTGATGGTAAGTGGTTACCGTCGCCCATGGACTTCAGCAATGCCAGGAGCAGAGCCAAGCCGCTGCCTACATTACTAATGTGATTTTATTGCTTAGATGGGTGGACGAGCTCACCGCCCACCTGGTGTCAAGCGGTTACTGGAGCCCATACACATCTACAACGTAAATGCGCCACTCACCTTGAGATATAAGTTCTAAGGTCTCAAGTATGGTTACAACGGAGCCCCACTCTTCAAACCGAAACGCATTACTGCTTCACGGCAGAAATAGGTAGGGTGCTGGTGCAGACTCACAAGAGGTAATTTATAAGTCAACAAAAAGCTTAGGAATTACGTTCAAAACGATATCAGAGAAGCAGCATTTTAATGAGTATCATCACATTATTGCTTACCTGGAAAAGATTAGTTCCTCTACGGGAATTGATGGACCACATCTCAGCGTCATCAAAATGGGCATCACCTCCATACACCTATGACAAATTAAAAATAATTTAATTCACGGTGCAACATCTAACCAAATAAAATATTTGTCGCCTATACATATTTTAGGTAAAACAAACACCGCGTTTTACTATATATATATATATATATATATATATATATATATATATATGTATATACACGTTTGTATTACCGTTAAATAGAATACTTGATTATCGCTTACAACTTTTTCTATTAAAAGTGTAATGCTCTGCATCCGTTTTATATATTGTGCTTCGGTGCTAGCCGCCGGTAGTGATAGACGTGTCCCTGTTATTTTTGAGAGCGTAACTAGCTAGCTAGACCCCTTGTGTTATAGTAATAGTGGGTGTATTCGGTGTCTTGGTCACTGGACATATTTAAATCGGATCCTCCAAACAGCAAGACCTCTCGCTTATGGACCTTAACGCAGCGCATCGGTGTCTTCTTTTAAACATATCGTCATCATTGGTTGACATCAAGGCCCATAATAAAGATCCTCATTCGCACGAGTACTTGAACATGACTGCATCTCATGGGCTCTACCTGGTCATTTGTTTCCCACGAGAGGAGACAATTGTCTGGACCACATACTCATAAAGTCGAACCTCGAGTCTACGACTCTTGTCACAGACTCCAATATAACTGATCTATTCTATTATTTTTAACTTAAGCTTCCAACCTATGAGACGGCTCATTAACAAAGTTGGTACTAAAATAGATTATCTTACGCTAATTGCTGAATTAAAAGTGTACGATTTTTCAGAAATCTACACCTCTCACGATGTTAACCTGGCTACTGATCTAGTTTTAAACAAACTTATCTCGCTGCTTCAAACTCACACAATATATTTTGTAATCCCATGTAGATTAAGAACTATAAAATCCTGGGTAACCACAGGCTTAGTAAGATGCATGCGAAATCGTGATAACATGCAGAAAAGCGTAAAAGCAAATATCAATAACCTCGTTCTTGTCCAGACTTACAAAAGGTACCGTAATTTCTGCAATGATCTACTTAAAAGGCTGAAGAGAGTGTTTGAGAGATCTGAATTTAATAAAGTAAAAAATAACCCAAAAAAGACCTGGAAGGTAATTAAGAATATCACTCAAACTGAAAAAGAAACTATTCCGCCTCTAGAGCTTCTTAATAAGTTTAGTGATAGCCAAGTCTCCATTAACGCAGCTAACTCCTACTTTTCAAAAATTGGGAAAGAGCTTGCAGGTAAAATAATTCATACTTCGGTTACTGAAACCACTCTTCCCAAGTTTACATATCCTCAAGTGAATTCAATGGTTCTGCCGGGAGTTTCCGAACAGGAAGTCGTTGACGTAATACGTGGCCTTCGTGGTGACTGTTCATCTGGTTGGGATGGTATACCCCCTAACTTATTCAAGCTCGCCTGTCCTGCGTTAGCCCCAATAATTACCTACGTTTGTAACCTCGCTATTGATCCGGAAAATTTCCCAACTCACTCAAAAAGGCAATTGTCCATCCAATATACAAGGGGGATAGAGACAGTGTTAACAATTATAGATCCATTTCAGTGTTGCCAACTTTATCGAAGGTTCTAGAAAATATTCTGAATAAAGCATTGATTGGCTTTTTAGATTCCAATAAAATAATTTCAAATTACCAGTTTGGATTTAGAAAGAACATTTCCACTGAAGATGCTGTAAGTTCGCTAGTTAAACACACTGTTGCGGAAATTGAACGCAAACAAAAGTGTCTTGGTATCTTTCTAGATCTGTCTTGACACTGTCTGTGTCCCTCTTCTGATCAATAAATTGGAAGCTCTAGGAGTCAGAGGTAACGTTCTGTCTCTTTTCAGCGACTATTTGTCAAATCGTACACAATGTACCAAGATCGGTCCTCATATAAGCAAGCAGGAGAAAATTGAGTACGGGGTTCCGCAGAGCAGTATTCTTGGGCCCACTTTGTTCCTGCTCTATGTAAACGATCTCTGTAGTCAATCTTACCCCTTTTTTTCGCTGGGGAATCCATTTACGGATACCCGGTCCGGGGGGGTAACGAACCGGGTTATGTCGGACTTCGGTGCCTCCTGAGAGGAAGAGGGGGACGAGGAGGGCCAAGGCCCTCCGCCTTCCCGAATACCTCGCAGGAGACTACGCCTTGAAAAAGGCGCGCGAAGCTCTTGCCCCGCAGAACGACTACCGACTAAACCCCATCGAGCTCCACCACACCGGCTACACCAGACCTACGGTACCACAGTGCGCGCCGAAAGTCCGCCTTCGCCGGTACCCGTCCTGATGATAAGACGATGATAAGATGATGAGGGATTTCATCTCCGGGAAAATCCCGAAGGACGTCATTTCGGGCGTGGGCGGCGCACAGGAGCCACCTTGCACCGCCCCACCACCGGACCGACAGTCGAGTACCGGACGCCCCCGCACCCGCCACCTGATAGTCCCTACGGGGGCTGAGCGGAGGTCTCTCCCCAGCACCGCGACGAGATCTCGCCGCGAGGGCTCCCAATGCGGACACATTTCGAGCGCGTGCTGCGCGTCATCATCCGGGTGCCCGCACTGGTGACAGCCCAGATGTGGATCTCTCCTGCAGACCTTCCACAGGTACCTCCCGAAACAGCCATGTCCCGAGAGGACCTGCGCAAGGTGAAAGGAGAGTACGCCGTGACGCCGATCCGACCATGCCTCCAGTACGGGCACCAGGGCCTCGAGGGTGCGCCAGCAGGTGGCCGAAGTTTGGCCAAGTCAATCTTACCCCTACTGTCGTCTCTTTGCATATGCTGATGATACAGCACTTATAGTTTCAGGCAACACGTGGGTAGAGGCAATTGAGAATGCTGAGTTTGCAATGAAGCAGACGATGACATGGCTGAGCCGCAAGCTTTTAACTTTAAGCAATTCTTAACATTTGCAAGCAGAAAATCCGTCCAACCCCCGTGTGATTCCATTACTCTCAAGGCCCATGTATATAATGGACGATATTCCGCATGTAATTGCTCGGAGATTGCTAGGACTGATAATATCAGATACTTGGGAGTATTGGTGGACAGCTGTTTCAATTGGTATGGTCAACTGGAACTTGTGACCACGCGCATTCGAAGCTTAATTTTTATTTTTAAAAAGCTAAGAGGCTCGGCACGTAAGCAAATATTGCTTACCGTATACACATCACTTTGCAAGTCCCTTTTAACATATTGCATCGCTATATGAGGTGCCTGCAAGACAAAGTTTATTATTATCGAACGAGCGCAAAGGGCAGTGCTCAAGGTGATGCTGAGGAAGCCTTTTGGGTACTGTACTAGACAACTGTATCGTGACGGAGGAGTGCTGACGGTTAGACAACAGTTTATCCACAGATCGGTTCTGCGACAGCACTCCGGCCTCCCATCAATCCCTAAAGAAACTTCCCCTCCTACGAGGAGACGAAAACCGGCCTTTGATACTATTGCTTGTAGGACGGAATTTGCCAGACGACAGATTTATTCGTCAGGTAGCAGAATTTATAATAAGGTAAATATATCTCAGCATCTATATGGCCTAAATAGGTACGACTTAAAAATAATCTGAAGTCTTGGCGCCTAAACTTAAACTATTTTGAAACAGAACAAGTCGTGTTGTAAAAATGTATAATGATGTATATAGGTATATAGTATGATATACTGTTCATTTATGTTTGTAGCTTATGTTTTTGGTAGGTTAGATGTGATGATGATGCTATGTGCGATGTATGATATATGTCTTATATAACTTAATATTTTATTATACTTTGTTGCATGACACAAATACACAACACACACACAAACACACACACACACACTCACACGTACGTACTATATTCTTACAGATCGTTCTTCCTGGTTAACTTACTTTACCTGGTGACCTAGCACTGAACCACTGACTTTTGTAACACAGGTTTTCTTAGCATAAAAGTCAGGGAATATTGTTATTGTATACCTCGTAAGAAAGCCATGTATATTATTATACTAGTGTTAAGATTTCTTGTACATGTTTGTATTTTAAGAGGCTTGAATAAATATTATTATTATTTATTATTATTATTATTGTTATAGATAGCCATGTTTATTTTTATTTTTATTGCTTAGATGGGTGGACGAACTCACAGCCCACCTGGTGTTAAGTGGTTACTGGAGCCCATAGACATCTACAATGTAAATGCGCCACCCACCTTGAGATATAAGTTCTAAGGTCTCAGTATAGTTACAACGGCTACCCTACCCTTCAAACCGAAACGCATTACTGCTTCACGGCAGAAATAGGCGGGGTGGTGGTACCTACCCGTGCGGACTCACAAGAGGTCCTACCACCAGTGAAATAAAAACCACCAGTGAAATAAAAAATGTATAATTTAAACGTGAAATTTTTGTAGAAAATTATGTTGTTATAGTCTATTTTCAAAAGGACGTAACTGTTCGAATTATATTTCGTCATAATTTTTCATCTAGAGGCATGAGTATTCTCTTCTGTGTTTGTTCGGTAGTGGCGAGAGAAATAATTAAAACTATTTTTAAAGTTTAATATTACTTTTTTTCCTACCTAAGCTGATAGTGGCTATGCCAGCGTAACCCTAACGTGTAGGTGAGCTCTCGGGGCTCAAACCAAGAGGCGTTGCTAAAACTGGCTCTAGCATGAGCAGTGCTTCGCAGAATCTACCACAGGATCGGAAACGCGACCCACTAAGAAGATCCGGCGAGAAACTCAGTGGGCTGTGTCAATGGGTTAGTTTACTCACCGAACCCTTCTTCGCAAGCGACGGGTTCGACGAGAACGGTGACCGGTCCTTGAGGTACCTAAAAGCACCGTTAGTGGATCGGGAGAATCCGAAATGACGTGTGTAATCTTGCTTTATTTTAATAACATTATATTATTTCCGACCTTTCTATACTTCACAGTTTTCGTGCGTCACCAGCGACTAACTCAACATCTAAATATTATACCGTTTTAATATCATGGACAACTTATTGTTTTGCATAATGACCGCCTTTTATGTTGAAAGACATGATGATGTAGCGGCAAAAATAAACGGTTTTTTTTTTTGTAAATTACACAATATTTGTTTATTTGTACGTATTCTAGTTTATTTTGTACTTACCGGGAAATAAGCGTGGGCGAGGGTGCCTCCTGGACCATCAAAAGGATCTCCGTCACCGTGCTCGCCTTTCTCAAACCTGCAATAAACAATTTCGTATTAAAATTCAGTTTTATTACTATCAAATGTCTTTTATTTGTTAGCCTAAAGTTAAATTTTGAAACCCGAACAGAATTTGGGATTTTTATTACTATCAAATGTTTTTTATTTGTTAGCCTCAAGTTAAATTTTGAAACCCGAACAGAATTTGGGAGTTTTATTACTATCAAATGTCTTTTATTTGTTAGCCTAAAGTTAAATTTTGAAACCCGAACAGAATTTGGGAGTTTTATTACTATCAAATGTTTTTTATTTGTTAGCCTCAAGTTAAATTTTGAAACCCGAACAGAATTTGGGAGTTTTATTACTATCAAATGTCTTTTATTTGTTAGCCTAAAGTTAAATTTTGAAACCCGAACAGTAATCTTGTGTTTAAAGTAGTGTTTCTTTATATATGTGCTCCTACTGAGTATCCTAAGCTCACACCTGAAGTGAGGTTTTATAAAAATAGTATAGATTATTTTTTATTTTTTTATTTATATAATATTATCCAATGACGTTGCAGATAAAGGAGCAATTTTAAAATTCGAATATGAAAATTTACATACAAATAACATTAAAAAAAATCTGTAGGTACGAACGGCCATTGTGACAACAATCAAATCATTATGGAGCATTCAATGACAACAATTCTCGTTTAGTTACGCAACATAGATAACCGACGGATTGTTACGAAAAACGCATCATTACTGATACACAAACATTCCCGTACAATGCGTACTTACTGCAATTTTATATTTCATTATGCCTGTACAAATATATGAAATAATCACTTATCGTAATGTATAATGTAACTGGGAGAAACGGCCCGTTTCGCACGTACGCATAGATTTTTCAAAAGAAATTTTATTAAAGTGACAACAATACAAACTAAACCACTAATAATAATTGAATGAATGTAATAAAACGACTTTTCGTCAAATCGAAGAAATGTAATGAATACAGATTGGGTAAGCTCAGTTTTATTAGTGATACCCATTGTCCGTTTTGTGGTACAATATGAAATTTCTCAATATATCTTAACTAATGCTGACATTAAAAATAGATATTTTTTTTAAATTTGAATAACAGTTTTCTTAATATTTTTGTTGCATTTGGAAAGACTTATTTTACTGTTATAAATCAGATACGTAAATAAGTCATACGTTCAACTTTGAAAGATAGAATGGTTATTTTTAATGATTACCGTCGTAGTCAATCGAGCTGATGGCTCATCGGATATTGAGTAGTCGCCGTCGCTCATGACATTAACACTGCCAGGAACTCACTCTGTTGCTGATGTCATTCCAGTACAACTGATACTTCGATCTAATGTGCAACATGCGATATTTTCATGTTTTTGTTATTGCTCAGATGGTTGGACGAGCTCACAGTCCACCTGGTGTTAAGTGGTTACTGGAGCCCATAGACATCTACGCCGTAAATGCGCCACCCACCTTGAAATATAAGTTCTAAGGTCTCAAGTATAGTTACAACGGCTGCCCCATCCTTCAAACCGAAACGCATTACTTCTTCGCGGCAAAAATAGGCAATGTGGTGGTACCTACCGGTGCGGACTCACAAGAGGTCTTACCACCAATAAAAAGGCCAGTGTATAGGCCTTTGTTTTTAATTAGGAGCGGTGGAAATTCTGCGCCATTAAAATAAAAGGTATACCTGCAGTAAACACTAAACTTATAATTATAAAAAGGAGAGGAGCTCCTGATCCACACATTTTGTCTCTCGCTTAAAAATGTGTCGGAAGTCTCCTATTCCTTTTTTGGTGCATTTGACGATAGACGGCCGGTATGCTAGTGAGTGGTCATTGTCGCTCATAGACATTGACAATACCAGCGACAGTGCCAAATTGTTCTTCCGATGAAGATTCTCCATAAACTTTATTTGGTTAAGGACGTTCATAGAACTCAAGAAACATCCTGGAAAGGTTTATTTTCCAGAGCTGGATGGAAAATGGTAAAAATAATGTCTGGAAATACAGTGTTAACATGTGGAACATTCCCGGAAGGTAAGAATACACTCTGTCCACATACTGCAATGTTATTTCAGTTATTTCAGACAATTCTTGATTAGGCATCCGAAATTACCTAATTTCTATGTGGACTTGACCGGATCTCTTTTGTGTGAAAGTAAGATCCGTGTAGTCAGACCAGACGGAGAAGGCTTTGGCAAGCTCAGCATCGACTTCGGCGCGATTCAGTCTTGATGGGTACTTGGATATCTTGTACGTCAGATTTTTGACACGCCATCTTGACCCTAAAACATCGATAGAAATCATTTTTAATACCTAAAATTTACCTTTCGTTTGAAGTACCTACATATACGTTGTATAATCACAAAAATGAAATTTCCTCTCTGGTTAACGTAAATATTAGACACAAGCCGTTACAAAACAACATTTTCCGTTTCTAGTGCTAAGTCTATGTCTGGAACACGATTTAAGTTTAACAGCATATTCAATGCGGAAATAAACATTGTAACAAAACTACATATAATAAAGTAATAGGCCTGTCCTCTATGATGTAGGTCAGAAACGGTAAATGAATATAATGATGCGTGATACATGTTTAAATAACTCACCTTGCAATGCGTATCTTTTGGCACGACTCTCTCCGAAGCCTACTTTATCTCTAACTCCACACCTTGGCAATGACATCATTTCGTTCGTTTGGTCATCCAGTTCACCTGCAAACAAATTATCTTATCAAAATGTTAACTTGTGCAAACTTGGGTGTATTTAAAGTCCAAGGTGTTATTTATTGACTTAATGGATATACAAGTGGATCATCCACTTAATGTTAAGCGATTACCGAAGAAAAGTGAGATCAAACTGTCTATAGCGGCTGCCCTATCTTTACAGCTAGAACACAGGGCTACTTAGCGCCATAAATGGGCAGCGCAATAGAACCTACCGCACGGTTTCTTAATATGCCCTATCATCAGAGACAAAGCAAAATGTGATTTTGAAAATAAAATGATGATGCTACTACCACGGAGGCTTGTTTAAGAATTAATAGTATTATGAGTAGTTAAGATATATGTAGTTACATCTATAATTATATTTTTTCTAAAGTTACTTTTTTTCAATCGTTCAAAAACATAAGTAACCTTGTGAATCAAGAGACAAAACGTATTTTAATGATGACTAGGAAGTAATTACTCAATCACATCGACCAAAACCGCACGCGGAAAACTTCGGACAAACAGGAACAACGGTTGTCAATTGTCAACGAATCGGTCAGCTGACGAGAACAAAATCAGAATTTTATATTATGACAAATTCAAAACACGCATATCGCGATACTTGTAACATAGAATATTAAAACGTTTTAATTTCAGAGGCTTCTCGTACGGGTCCATGTGTTTTTGTCGTTAATTTTCCGAAACTTGACAATCGTTTTACGATCTTCGTATTTGATGGCACCGAGTTCCAACGTGACGGACGTGTTATTAAAATTAATGGCATCATTAAGGCCACGTCGAGTCATAAACATGGTGTTTGTAACAAACTGCTAACCCAACTCGTGCACTGACCGATATGAATTATTTATTTGCGCATATATCGACGGTGCGCTATTTGCTTACATAATAACTCGCCTTCAGTCATCGTGAAGACCAATAAACTACTTCTCGTGTCAAAGCACGTACATACATACACGTATGCGAAGACGATACTAGTTCTGCCCACATAACCCTATGTTGTACGTTAAGATGGCTGGTTCGGACTTTTAAATGGCAGTTGGGAGGCTCATAATAACTACGATGAAAACATCAAGGTTTCTAAATTGTGAAGTGTGGAGAGCTGGCGAGCGTTCAGTGGATCGAGTCCATGGCTAGAACAAACCTACAACTAGAAACTTAAATTATGATGTGAGCGATGTTGTTTATAACTCCATTAATGTATCGAAATAAATCGAATTACAAAATGTTTTAATAAAGTAATTGATTTATTGCTAACTATTACCTACTTATATTTAAAAGAATACTCTATTGTAAATAAAAAAATCGGTTAGTTAATAAAAAAAATGCGTAAATTATGCTATTCAATAAATGTATATCACCTATTTTGAAGCTGATTTAACTACATATAAGAACTTTTATGAAAAAAATTAATAATCGTATTTTAGGCCCGCGTGTAGGTATGTATATATGTTCGCACTCTGCCTATTTCTGGCATGAAGCAGTAATTCAATCCTATCTGTAGGGTGGGGATTGGAGTTAAATATTACAATTGAGACTTCGCAATCAGTCTCGAGGTAGGCAAAGGCATCCACATTGTGATGTCCATGGGCTCCTGTAGCCGCTTACACCAGGTCTGTTCAAAGAAATTTAAAAAAGTCGCGAAAGAAATAGGCACGTACAGTGCTACTAATCTGTTCAGGTGGAGAGAGTGGAATGCAACAAGTTTACGCAATTTTTATATTGGAAAATTACGCTGCTCAATACAAAGGCATTAAATGTTCAATACAAGATTTTAACAAAAAAGAAAGTTGTCTTCAACATATCAAACATAGTCGAAGCCAATTAAATATGCACTAAAAACTAAACTAAAATCTACTAGTCAGATCTTGATCAAATTTAAATAGAACCATATGAGAAGCACCAGCTTTTAAATTAAATTCGTCAAAATCATCAAAATCGATTCACCTCGAAAAATATTGTAACACTAAGGTAACACACAAAAAAAAACACTGAACTAATAGCTTCCTTTTTTTGAAGACGACTATTTGCAGAATTCCTTCTCGATATGTTTTCAAAAAATAGTTCAATAAGAATCTCGGTTACTAATAAGTTATCATACTCATAATTCTTATCAGTGCTGCAAATGGCTAACTTTTTAACTGATAACACAATTACTTTGACTCTTAATGTAGTCTTAATTTCAGAAGTTATTTATCAGTATTTCCCATATCGACTTAGATTAATTTAGATTAAGAAAAATCAAACAACATTATTACGACTACAATACGTCACGGTTTTATGTGTGAGTGATAAATGTATTTTAAAATCTAGTCAACATCAGGAAACAAATATTCGTCTACTGAAATGTATTTCTCAGTGACATCTCTATTATGTCTGTCATTTAAAATGAGACTTAGTAATTGTCTTACCCGTAGCATTAAGACCAGCGAAGCTCTGAAATTCGGCAATGGCTCGCCTCCACGAGCTCTCATCCATAATGTGCCCACTCGAAGGATTCCTTACTGATGGACTTAAATAACCGTACTGTGCTAAATACATCTGAAACAAAAATTTAATTTTTAAGTTTTAATTATTTGTTTATTCATACAGTGTATATTTTTTTTATTGCTAGATGGATGGATGGCGGAGAGCTCACAGCCCACCTGGTGTTAAGTGGTTACTGGAGCCCATAGACATTTACGACTTAAATGCGCCACCCACCTTGAGATATAAGTTCTAAGGTCTTAAGTATAGTTACAAGTATAGTAAAATTTACTCCTAATATATATTTACTATTTGCGTGTACCATAAATTACGAAAATAGATTTACGTTGAACGCATAGACATAATTAGGTACATTTCTGAAGAATTTCCAGAACCATTGTGACAACTAAGATTAAATATAATTACAAAACAATTGACACACAAAGTAGTTTGAATTGAAACATACTAATTTCCTTGCATAGCTCTCATTTATCTTCTTTGTAGGTATCTTCTGACGTTGTATTATCTCGCATCATCGCAAGGTTACCTACCCATTGTTTATTGTCAACGCACTTGATAAGGATAGCACGAAACAGTGCATACCATATAACATGTATACACGTGTGAATATCTAGATTTTTATCATGAACGATGTTTCCAATATTTTCAATTCATCCATTAGGTATTACCACTTCAACTTCCGAATATTATCAACCCACTTATCATAAAATACCAATTTGACTTACTTTGTTACAAGTCATGTCTTTCTCGAAATTAAAAGTTATCAACCAAATTATTCGTCGTGTTATGTTTAATAAATGCTTAAAGAGAAAATGTGGTGTTGACCGGTAGGGATGGCAGACGAAGTCATGCGACCTTGAGCAGAGGCAGCGGCTGCATACGTGCCCTGCATCACAATATGTTTACATATATGCGTGGCTGGCACCGAATGGATACAGCTACCTTTGTTCCTCTCACCGGGGAATCCTAACAATGGCTAATCCTTACCCAGTCAATACCCCCTAAAGCCCATGTTTGCTATTGTCTGTGTATTGTAAATGTTAGGCGAATGCTAAACGTATTTTTAAAGTTATCATTATTTGTTGAACAAATAATTTGTCATCAGTCCAAATGATTGTCAGAGGACGTAAAGTTAATGAGGACGTAACACGACAACTGCATATAGGAGATCCGCAAATACTTAATGTAGTTAACATCTCTGAGTCGCATACAGATTATTACAATTCTCGTAAATTTTTGTTCGTGTAAGTCGTTGAAAGGGCTCAATGCATTTTATATCGATACAATAAAGAGAATAGTGTAGTTACAGATTGAATTTAAATGAAGCCTGTCAATGAGTAATCGTGAGAGAATTGCTCAGATTTTGGTAACAGTCGTGGACCTATGCGGCGGCCAGTCGGGCGTTGACACTCCCTCGCAGGCCATTGATCGCCTGCACGGAATCGAATACAATAAATTCATCTAATATTAACCGAAACGTTGTATTAAATTATGTAAAACTTTGAGTACGAAGCATATAATAACATTAAAAGAAGTAATTAGAAATCAAATCGCAAATCGCAAATTCAAAATTGAAGACGAGCTACGTAAAATTAGTAGTGTTTTTTTTTAAGAATACAATTAAAATAAATGTAGGTAACCTGCCTTTAACAAGAACCGCGAAAGAGCGAATGTAATGACTGTTAAATAATAATTTAGTATATCCGTATCGGGGTCAGTGTATTCTAGAGAGTAACGGGCACTGTCTGAAGCTGCGCCTGTTCATTTGATAAGTCTTGTTCTCGACGAAGCAAGCGCTCCACAGACCCACTTATGCCATGCAAATTTTACCGCCTCAAGGCGCGACCAACGGCAACCTATTATCACGTGTGCTCGCTAATCGACCATGCGAATTGAAAAAGTACTTTTGTCACATACAAATATTTACGCTTCGCTGCAGTCACGGACAGTGATGGTACTGTTAATTTTCAACAAATGCTAAATAATCAACAAATGTTATTATACTCGTACAATGAGTCAGCTTATTTACCCACTTTAAGAAGAGATAAGTACAAGCAAATAGAAGGAGAGCGATGATTTTTATTGTAAATTAATCACGCAATCGATCAACGTTACTTCTAATGGATAGAGTGAGTCAGTTTAAAGGACTTCAGTAGAAATACCGAACACACCAAAACTATCGACTGACTCACGGAAATGTCAATTAACTAAAGTGATGAAAATCGATGAAGGATATGAAGGTGCAAATAATAATAATAATAAAACATTTATTTCAGAAAAAAACCATAAAATATATAAATAGACTTTTTTTTTTTCTTCTTTATGTAATTTAAACTCAAAGTATGAAATGTTAAAAAAGCCTTTTCCAATATATGTAATTTTAAATGTAAACAAATAATCAGGTACTTCCTGACGAACGCACCCATATATTTGTTTAGTGCGTAAGAAATGTTGAATCAGTTTTTATATGCTTTACTCCTTAATCATTAAAGTACATAAAACAATAATTTTAACATTGTAGTGAGACACAGTCTTTTAACATCTAGTCGTTGACCTAATTTGTCGCACAATTCAGGGTCATTGGTTATGATTCATTTCAATATTGATAAATCAACAAAAGAGCACTTTGAACATTTGAATTTCTTTGTAAGCACACTGCATATGTTCTAACTATGTCATCGAATTTGTTTACAAAACAAAAGCTTAATTTTCATTAAAATGCAGTAATGCGTGAATTAATATTCATGTAGTGACTTTTAAGGCGTAGTAGAATAGACATGTGTAACAAAAGATCGAGGGCTGTTTATCCTTAGTTAAACGATTACAATGTACGCCACGCCATGCGGGCATTTGTGATTGCGTTCATCGCTCATACTTATTGTTGTATAACGACTGACATTAACTGTGATTTACGTATGAACGTGGAAATGACAACTTTTGCCCTGCGGCCACGACACGAACAACTCTATGTCATTTTTGTAGTAATATTTCCTAGGGTTTTCACAAGTCGTAGAAATAACAGAAAGACAGTTTGTTAATCTGTTAATCTAATGTAACCATATAAATAGGACATGTATGGAAATGGTAGTGCAAGGTAAAGGGGGAAGAGGTCGATCGAAGAAGACATGGATGGAGTGTGTGAATGACGATATGAGAGAGAGAGGAGTGAGTGTTGAGATGACGGCTGATAGAAGAGAATGGAAGAGAAAAATTAGCTGTGCCGACCCCACCTAGTAGGATAAGGTGAAGAAAAAGAAGATAAACTGCATGTAAGTATCTTTAAACTTCGCGTCAAATAGAAAGAACAGTCGTATCAATCCATCTTAAGCTATTTTATGAACTTAGATTAGAAGAAATACTGTCTATGGAAACATCTTCCGCAGTTTTTTATAATGACGGTAGCACAAACTATATTACCTATATGAACCGTTGGCATTTGGCTGTTTTTTTTTTTAAATAATTTCTGAAATTGTCGTTTTTCCCGCAATTTTGGAAATCTAGTAACACAAACTATGTGAAAGTAATTTTTATGTAATTAAAACTGCTAATTCGATCCTAGTTTTTTTTTAAATGCATACACGTTCTTAGGTAAGCAAAAAAGACTGTTTCCTTTAGGAAGATTTTTACATAAACGCTTATAAAACTAGTAAAAAAAACAGTCCAGCACTTTATCGAGTTTATTTACATACAAATTATCAATGGCTATGGCTATGGCATATCCGGCTATGGAATGAGCTCCCTTCCACGGTGTTTCCCGAGCGCTATGACATGTCCTTCTTCAAACGAGGCTTGTGGAGAGTATTAAGCGGTAGGCAGCGGCTTGGCTCTGCCCTTGGCAATGCTGAAGTCCATGGGCGACGGTAATCACTCACAAGGTCGCCTACAAGGGAAATAAAAAAAAAACCGATCTGCCTGCCACAAGAACATCATGATTCCCCAACTAATCAAGTATATTCCAGTATAGGCTTTCGTCATTCATATTCTCAAAAGATTGTTTCCTTTTGTAAGAACAAAAGCTGAACTTGTTGCGGGTTTTAAATTTTATCAAGCCGTGCAACTCTTGCAACTATTTCCGCGAAAAACATCTGCAGCTCGATCTTTTTGATATATCATACTGAGAAATGATGCAACACGTGCAAGAACTTGTAAACACATACCAAAACTGATTCGGAACTATATACAATTGAAATCATTCTTTTCTCTTAGATTTAATTAAGCTATTAACAAAAATCTCTCTTTTTTTTCAATGACGAGAATACGTGTCAGTTGTAGGGTGAGCCCATCATGCCTTTTTATGTCCTAAAATATGTAATAATGTGTTCCAGTTTGAAGAATAGCCGTTATACAATACAATTTAACGGCCGTCTGGTGTAGTGGTAAGTGACATGGTCACTACACAAGGGTGTCGCGGGTTCGAATCCCGCCAAGGGAAGATATTTGTATGATAAATATAAATGTCTTTTCCAGGGTTATGTATGTATATTAAATATATGTATGTGTATCATAAAAATCTTACATTTATATCCGTTGTCTGGTACCTGTAACACAAGTTCTTTACGAACTTATCACGGGACCAGTTAACGTGGCGTGATTGTTAGTAAAATATTTATTTATTATTATTATTATTAATTGAGACTCTAACAACATCATATCTCACGGTAGCTAGTAGCTTCACGTTATGATACATAGGCTCCGATAGTCATTTAACAAGAAGGGTTGCAAGCTCGGCATTTATGTTATAAAAAAAAGTGTACTAAATATACGTCTTGCGCCACAGATAATAATAATTCAAATCATTTTTTATAAATCATAAAACATTACAAAGTAGGCATATATAAAATAGTGCTCAATATTTTTATCGATGTAAACAATAGATTATGATAATGATAGAAAATAATCACACGAATGATCATTTTCCTCATAGACCGAACTTGCAAAAAAACCATCAATCAATTGGAAATGCAACGTCTTCTCGAGAACTCCAATGCTAACAGCCAATGCCCACGCGACGTCCTGTTTTGATATCTATAGTATCTCTGTCAAAATTACCTGTT